GTAGGGAAACTGATGATGAGAATGTTGCGAAGGAACAGATTTCTCAAGTTCTTGAACTTTTTATATCAATGAAGGAGCAAGGTTTCCCAATAGAGGAGGAGACTTATGGTCCATTTCTTATGCTTTTAATTGATAAGGGTATGATGGAAGAATTTTATTTCTTCTATGGCATTATCAAAGATACAAATCCTAGTGAAATTGCACGATTAGGCTATTATGATATGTGTTTATATATCAGAGTCAATGATGAAAAGAAGATTCAGGAACTTTGCAGTTGTATTTGTACTGATTATGGGGACGAGAATTTCAGTTTACGAGGTATGTACCTTTTGCTTGATCGACCTTAGAAAATATTATTGTAACACCTTAAAAACACATTTGCTATAGTTTGTGAATGTATCATGACTTATACAAGTACTAAGGTGTAAATAAATTAAATAAAGCAAAAATACATGAGAAGATAGCTAAATGTCAAACAAAGTTAGGGGACAAAAACTAAAGTAAGGCTCAAACTGAAATTATCCAACCCAAGTAGGTGAAGTAGGATGATTTTTGCATGATAAAGTAGGTGAAGTGGGAAAAAATTTTCTTTGTCATGCTTGTGAGATGTTATGATGAAGGGAGGGACATGCTTCTCCTTGGGTAATTGCATTTTGAACCTTTCTTTTCTTTGAGTTAGTTTTTGTCTCCTAACTTTCTTTTTAACTCTACATTATTTGACATTTAGCTATCTTCTCATGTATTTGTGCATCATTTAATCTATTTACACCTTACTTTTTGTATAAATAATGGTACTTTCACAAATTATAGCAAATGTGTTTTTAGGGTGTTACAACTATTTTCTGGCATTTATATATATATATATATGGAAAATTATGTTCTTTTGTGACCCTTTATGACACAATCGACTTTTGTGCATTGGCCATTTGTGATACCTTCAAGATCTTACTCCTGTTGCAGAAAATTATTTACTGGCACTCTGTGAAAGTGACCAAAAGAATTACCTGTTGCAGCTGTTAGAGACTGTGGATATCACAAAACTTTCATCCTTGGACAATGCAGTCAGTGTCTTTAAATCCTTAGGGAGGCTATCATTGGAGTCCTATGTAGAGAAGTTTCTTTTGGTGCTCAAAAATTGTGGTATGTTCATTATACAATATTTTTTTAGTATTGAGATTCCTGTACTTATTGTTTATTGAAGACCATGAATTGCTATTGAAAGCTGGGAACTGATTTCCTTTCCTAAATCAAAATGAAAAGTTTTGGTATCTTCATCTTTTTCTAAGATGTCTTTTTTTTAAATTATTATTTCCTAATTGTAGCTGCATTTTTCATTCTAGCTTCTTTGAAAAATTATCACTTCTAAGAAATTAAATCAATTGGATTGTCTCCACCAACCATATTGTAGCGCCTATATTTTTATGTGCAGGCTTATGGTATCTGATCTCTGGAAGTTTTTTTCACCCCCCCCCCCCCCTCTAAATGCAAATTTGAAACCAGGCTGTAGTTCTGGTATTTGAAAGAGACTGAGAATGTATGAGATTTGATGGAAGACAAAGCATGCATTTCTTCTTGATAGCTCCTGTCTTGTATGCTTTGTGATATATTACTGTGATAAAGTGCAGATTATGGAACGGAGGATATTTCAACTCTCATCTTTAGTTATGCTACTAGCATTCCAAATTTAGCGGTGAGAAACTTCTCATGAATGCTGCTGGTAACGTCCTTGAGGCCATTATGCAATGAGGAACAGCTGCTTAACACATGTAGTTTGCTTTTTTGAAACAAACTCATTCTGAGTGAACCTGGGGAGAATTGAATGTTGCTTGCGTTAATAATTAGTCTACAATAGTAGGTTGCTTCTGATTGACTCAGTCATACTAGCAATATTATGATCTTTCAAGATTTCTATTTTCTTTATGCTCATTTATTCATTGCCTGTTTGGGCTACTGAGGTGGTGTTAACAAGCCAACTTTGCTTTTAGACTGATCATGAATTGGAAAACCAATGGGTATGAAAATAATTCGTGTATGGTAACAGCAAGGTTTGTAAAAAATGACTTTGTCTGCTCATTACATAATAGGAATTGATCTAGTTTCAGTGAAATCTAATTTTAATGTCACTTTTGATGAAATTTTTCATTCTGTTAAATGGATAGGAAGACATTTCATTCTGTTCAGTGGATAGGAAGGCATTTGTAGTCATTGAATGGGATGCAAACAGATTGGTGCCAGGGCAAGCATGTAAATGTCAAGATTTATTGACACTCTATATCATTCAGACTGGTGCTATATATTAGGGCTCCTTAGCAGGATTACGTCATATCAATTGTTTTGATGTCAATTCTCACTGCTGCTATAAGTATGTGCAATTTGTTGATCGCAAGTGGTTGTTTTCCTCACACCATCACTCTTTTGTCATTACTTTTCACTTCTCCTTTCTGAAGGCATGATATTGATTTCTCTCGTTTGCAATACCATGACAGTTATTGGAAATGTTAATAGCCAAAATTACCATATTAACTGTTTTATGACCTTATGTCTTAAATCCTCTAACAAATCCATATGAACTCAGTTATTTTAAGTGTTTGCACTATGAAAAATACATTCCAATGTCTTTATGCATGAGAATTCTTGAAATGGTTGATTTTAATTTGGCTTTCAAACATGTTGAATGTGATTTTTCCTGTTGTAGGCTGAGGATGTTATTTCAAAATTCAAAACCTTACACACAGTAATGGAGATGAGTCCTTCTTCAACTTCATATGAGAGGCTTATTGTATACAGTTGCAATGCACTTAAGGAATGACCTTATCTTTTTTACTTAAAGGGAAACATATATTCAAGGTTCTACCTTCTTCAGGTTGTAATTCATTTGAAAAGTTGAAGATGGGAATTCTCGTCTTGTTCATGGATTTAACTACTTAAGAAGCCACATCAAACTTTTTAAAATATTAATCATTTGTTTCCATATAACCTATATATTGATCAATGTCTATTGTCTATTCATCTGAATGCAGGTGCATCATGCTATTGATCATGACTTGGAAAACCAATGGGTATGAAAATAATTCGTGTATGGTAACAGCAAGGTTTGTAAAAAATGACTTTGTCTGCTCATTACATAATAGGAATTGATCTAGTTTCAGTGAAATCTAATTTTAATGTCACTTTTGATGAAATTTTTCATTCTGTTAAATGGATAGGAAGACATTTCATTCTGTTCAGTGGATAGGAAGGCATTTGTAGTCATTGAATGGGATGCAAACAGATTGGTGCCAGGGCAAGCATGTAAATGTCAAGATTTATTGACACTCTATATCATTCAGACTGGTGCTATATATTAGGGCTCCGGTTACAAAAAAACAGTATACTTCTTCACTGCATTTCAGTTCCCTTGATTCAACAAGCAAGACAGTCTTTTGCTTTCATTTATTGATATGGTAGACCAACTGTGTGAAGAGGTTTTCACATATCCATAAACACAATACATTCTATGTTGAATGCTAGTGAGGCAAGCCTTGATTTTAATTTCGTATGGTGTTCACTCTAAATGTCTTTGCATTAAATATATGTTATATTGGTCATTTTGGATAAAGTAGTTCTGTTTCAAGTCAATTATAGAATTCAAACATGTTAAATTTGAATCTCTTGATTCTACTTGTGTGTTGAAGTCTGATCTTAACCCGCCTGAGCTTGATTATGTTAGATTAGTTTCATTTATGTTAACATGTGTATTTTAATAGCCTCAAATGCGGTTACAAAAAAACAGTATACTTCTTCACTGCATTTCAGTTCCCTTGATTCAACAAGCAAGACAGTCTTTTGCTTTCATTTATTGATTAATCCCATGAATTATTTTTGCTGTTTGAATTCTCTTCAGTTTTATTCTGCTATTGTCTGTTCTTCTGAATTGATTTTTTTGTACTCATCTGTTCTCACCTTGATGATGTTTAGGTTCAGCGAATCTATTCATTGATTTATCACCTGGACTTGACACCAACTAATGAGACATTTAGGAGAATGATAGGTTTGAGTGTTAAAATGAAAGATGTAAGTTGCTAGTAGCTTTCTCTCTTGCTTGCTCTCCATGTGTCTCTACTGTCCTATGTACTTGCTTTTGCTTTCATTTCCTATGCTACCTTTCGCCACATAATATTCTCATAAGTCATGGTTATTTATTTTTCTCGGTCTCTTCCTATTCAGTGTAGTTTGATGGTGCAATTGGTCTGCTCAATGATTTGAAGAAATTGAATTTGACACCAACAACTGCCATGTATAATGCTATAATGGGTGGATATTTTCGAGAGGTAACTTTACATGTCAAGTTATTCTTCCTGGTCCTTCTCATGTGTTTTAATTTTTTTACTGCAAGCTGGTTTTTGACTCATTGTACAACTTGGGACATTTTCTGCAGCTGTTTTTTTATTTAGTACCTATTACATTTCTGCAAATATACTTTATGCAGTCTTGACCCTTTTTTTTTTTTTTGGGGGGGGGGGGGGGGGGGGGG